AGCCTCAGATCTTTCAAAAAATGTGCTTATTTAGTGGTCTTTGATGACGCAGCGCGAGGTTTTTGGTATTGTAACCTTATCTTCACCTTCAGTAATTAAAAATTAGTGAGCAAATTCTAGTTTATGAACCGAGTTATCGTGAAGATTATTCATTTGTGAAATATCTCCCTGGCAGTACAACTCACATTCACAAACCGAGTTACTCAAGCTTTCACGGTTTTTTTTTTCTTTTTTTTTTAATATGTACTTAAAAAGTATAATTATTAATTTTGAGCTCTCCTTGGCATCTCTAGTCCTATTGCTTAGTTGTCAGCTCTTGATTCGGTTACAAATAGAAAATAGAAAAAACCCTTTCACACGGAGCAATGTTTAAAAAACATTTTGAAATATGCGTTTCGTGGGAACTTTTCAATAAACGCGAGGAAATATACTCACCAAGCAAAATTGACATCACCGTTAATTGGACAATTTTGAGGGCCAACATGTTTAGAAAATACGTTTTCACTCTGACGAGCTACTCTCCAGATGGCTACGAAGAAAGCCTCTGAGGATCTAACAAAACATTAACATAATCGTTGTTTTCTTTCAAAGTTTCCCATAAAAGCTGCGTGCGTGTGCGTGTGTGTGTTTAAAAGGAATTTCGAAACTCTAGTGTTTGAATAATAATCTTAATTAAATATTATATTTAGCCTTTTGCTTCTAACGATGTATCACCAACGTCTGTAATGGCTGAAATTTTCTCAGAGAAACAAAACATATCTTTATTTTCACTAAAAGCAAGATGAGGTCATAAACAATCTTTAAAAAACGCCGACAGTTTCTTCGTGACTTTATTTCGTTTTCATGGCGTCTTAGCTCAATGCACAAAACAGAGGGCAATAAAAGACAGAGAGAGTTAGGTGGGGTTGGAGGGAAAAACACGAAAATCGATATGTAAGTTTGAGGAACGTAATATGTCCGCAGTCTTTTATTTAAAATAAAATGTTTTTCACTTCTCCAGCAATTCTCAATTCTACTGTTCCTAAACATCTACAACGCGCACGATCTATTGTCGTGTTAAGCATTACCACTGCTTTCAATCCTTCTGTACAATGCGCCTGAACAGTACCGTACGCTAAAAGCGCAGAGTGCCACCAAGTCTCCAAAAACTTGAATAAGAAGCTTCCATGATTTTAATCCATAATGCAAATCAAACGGAGAAAGATAACGCTTTAACAAACAATATAAAGCCAGAGCTCACCAAGGTTTGAGAACCAGCAGACTGCAGACAACACAAAGTCAACATTAAGCGTATATTTACTCAGTTTACCACTAAGCTATCAGGGAAGCGGAAGCAGTACGTGCTCGCCGAACCAACAAATCGTCTGCCTGACATCGTTCTCTGCGTGGTATCACGTTCAGCAAAATACTGATGTAGACTGGTCCAGCAAGCACACAGCTTCCAGTAAGCCCGAATATGTCACGCATTCCCATGTCCTTGTTTCTTATCAAATAGCATTCATTTAGTGGACGTTTCTAATATGAACTTAACCTGCTCACTAAACTTTAATGATGAAGTGCCGTTCTTTCTCTATTCCTGCTTATATTTTCTGGTGGCGCCATCTCAGGTCCAACAACGCGGCTTTGTTTTGCCAGAAAGGCTTTCCGCATTTGGGAAATTCATGTGTTTTGCCTGTGTTTTTGTTCTGGAAGCAGTAATACTTTTTATGTCACTAGGCTAACTCCAGATTCCGTTTCGGAGATCTATTGAACATCACAATTTATCATTTGTTATTACACTGCACAAATTTATTTCATTTAATACATTTTACAGATGTGTGATACTCACCTTGAGCAGCATCTCTCAGACTGTTTTTATCTGCTCTCTCATAGGATTGCGCAATAGATGCACGGACAGAAGTCATATAGTTGTTTAAAATCAATGATACTGTTTATCGTTTTTACACTTTGAGGTGCCAGTCCCTGATATGCTATATTGTCACTTTAAGCACAAACTTAAATTTAAAAGAGTATTTGAGCTTGTGCCCGCAAAAAATATCGGTGAACGAAGGGTCAAGGAGTCGCTTGAAGTTTGAAGTGCGCATATTACGTAAAAAATGGGCTTTAATATTTAATACGAGCTGTAATTCAAGCAGTTTCCCAACTCCTTTCTTCGCAGTGTTCAAGCCTTGGTCAAAAAAATATTCATAACACCAGAAAACATTTTATGAGAAAGATCTGTCGCAATACAATCAGCCTGTAAAAAGGCACCCTACATTCTGCAGCTATTAAAAACATTTTCTGCCGGCTAAAGTAAATGATGTATTTAATTAATCTCAATTTCTTACCGGAGTTTTTTTTAACGTTCTTTTACGCTCTACAGGACATTTCATTTGTGTCGATGTTCGTTCATCACATTTACCTTCACCATTATCCCGCATACAGACGCTACGTAACAGCATTGTACCATCCCGCATTGTCCAATGAAGTCCCGTTTCAGGTTATCGCCATTACATAGGTGAGCTTGTGTTCACATCATAGTTTTGTTTTTGTTTAATATTGTTCTAATTCAATTTGTATATATTGTTCTAATTTAATTTGTATATATTGTCCTAATTTAATTTGTATTTGTACAATTATTAATTTGTTTAACATTGTTCTAATTTGTTCAAATAGATTTATGGTTTGATTGCTTTTTCTGCTTTGTGCTAGCGTTGGTGCACCCAAGAGATGGCCGCTTGGTCGTATTGGGGCACCTGAAAAATAAGATTTATTATGATCATTATTATAACTATTAAAGCATAACACTTTTAATCAGGATAGTAAGCAACTAAAGATATTTAAACCGGTAAAAAAGTGACGCTTTCAACACTTAAACAGGATACGAATACGACGATATCTGCAAATATTATAGGATATGGTCGTGCTCCTTTTCTCGGGAATAACCTGCTTGACTGCTTTGCAAGTGCAGTACAATGCACACACTTTCATATAAAAGGTTTTTCACGTAAGAGTGACAGCATTTAAAGGAGCTGTCAACGATTTTAACGCTGAAGAATTAGAATCTTCTACTTTTGACATTGTTCACCTTGTCACAAGAAGCAGAAAATACACCTCTTTCCTTCGAAATCTTGTGATTCCGCCCCGTAATCGCGAGGCAAAAGATTAGAATATTCCCCGACCTGCAGCCGGAAGCGGCGGCCATGAAAAAAACGCGGCGTGATGTCAATGGGGGGTCCTGTAGGAAGATAGCAAGTTGTGCGAATACGTGCTCGATGAAAGGTAACTTTTCTATAAATCTTGTCGTTCCAACATAAATATAAATGCGTCAAAAACCTGGTATCATTGACAAAACTTTTATTTTACACAGTTTTAGTAGCGCCATCTATCCTAGGTCCACAAACCGTCAGCTCTATCTGCTAGCTCGAACATCCACCAGGAGCCGGAGCCGCGTGACCACGCGCCAGCACGTGGTCACGCGGTCGCGAGCGGATGAGTTCTCGCTGCTCACTGATGGCTCTAGAGAGAGAGCTTCACCAATACCCCGCGCAAACCCCATTGACGTCACAGCGCACGTGACTCGGAAGATGGTGAAGGAGTTGAGAGGTGCCGAAAACCTCAATATTTGTCCATCTTTAAAATAAAAACTAGGACATGCAGGCGAAAGCGGTTTTTTGTTCTTTACTTCAGAAAGGTCGAGACACCAACTCCCAAATTATTTGGGCAAAGCACTGAAAGTGTTGCACAGCTCCTTTAAAAATGGGGAACTAGAAATAAACACCTTCGGAATTACGTTGTCCACGGCAAAGGACGTAAGGACGTTAGTGTAAAGTGCTCATTAGATGTTTATTTAATGAAAGTCAGTAGTTAACTCTTACGCCTTTTGTTTTCATTAGAATGTTTCAATTAGAAATTTTCAATTCCCCGTTTACTCAGGCTAATATATTCTATGTGTTTCGGAAGAAAAATACTACTTCGAGTGATTGTGTGTCGAATTTTGGCGATCACGGACACGGGTGATCGAAACTAACTCCACAAAGGCGTGCTAGAAGCGGAAACAGTTTCACTGCCGAAGATGCGACAGTGTGGCGTGTGGTAAAGCGTAGTTGCTGTGAACAAACGGCCAACAGCTTTGACCCCTCTGTAAAATCGGGTCGGGACCTGTTCCCACGAGCAGAATCAAAATTGAGTCGCCGCCTGCGTCTCTCATATACGGTAACTGGCGTTTTCGGTTTTCTTTTATTATTTTTACACAAATCGTTTTTCGATGTAGCTTTTAAGTAAAAAGAAGAAAAAGCTGCAGCGGCAGCTGTTAGTAAAAATCATATCCCGGAAGATGTGTTGTGTGTTGTACGATCGCCTCCAAGCACGTGGTTTGCAAAACCACGTGCTTGGAGGCGATCGTAAAACCACGTGCTTGGAGGCGAAAAAAAAAAGTAGACGTGGTCCTTGATTATGACAATGCCCAATTAACTGCCTCCTCAGCACCAGATATTTACGTCGCTCAACATCATGCGTGCCGTGTACCAGCTTGTGGTACGTTCATCGAGGCCTTTATTCGGTTTCCCTCGACACAATTTGTTGAAAATCAGCAACGAAGTAAGCCTGTCGCAGTTATTAAAGAAAAGTTGAAGACTGATATTTTTGCATATCTAAATATAAATTCGGAAGTCTGCAGGCAGGAAGTTGCGAGGGCTTCTGGAGTTAGCCTTTCTCCGGTATGGAGCGGGCTAACAGAACACGAGCTTCAACCCTACTCTCCACCAAGGTTTCAATTACGAAGACTTTGGAGCGTCTAAATTTCCCTAATTGGGCGACCATTTAGACTGAACAGATGGCAGACTTTTTAATAAATTTCTATGGACGGACGCCACGTCTCAAAAAATGAAAATATAAATTTTCACAATGCGAATTACTGGTCGGAAGTAAATTCACGCTAGCTCCGCCAACACAAACAACAATTGCAGTGGTCGGTGAACGTGTGGTGCGGTATATTTGAAGGTCGCATTGTTGGCCCTTGTTTTCATTAAGGCAACCTTCTTGCAAATACCTATACACACATCGTCCTAAATGGAGCTGTGAACGAGCGAATTTCAGAGCTTCTTTCGAACAGTCTGCAGTCAGTGTGGTTTCAAGATGACGGTGCCCCAGCACACGTCCACAAGCCTCTCCAGAGGCAGTCCGGTTCCTTGACCCCAACACCCTCGACAATCGATTAGATTTGGTGGACCGACGGCCTGCCTCCCAAGGTTGCCTGATTTGTCTCCATTATGTTTTAAGGCTGCGTCAAAGACCAAATGTATGCCACAAAGACGAAAATTTATATTTATTTAAAAGAGGATTGTCACCGTTTGTCGAATTGAGCAGCGTCTGGTTGAAAGATCAATTATTCATGTGTATCGCAATAAAAGGTAGGCGCCTTAAACATTTTTTGTGAAGCGCTCGCTATATTAAGTAAAATTAATGCCACATTCAACTAATGTAACCCCACAAAGTGCTTTATTTGAAAAAGTATCGCGACGTTGCACAGATGTCAATACACTTTCATCTTGCAATGCCGCTCAAATTCCTACATGATGTTCCTTGTTTGACCTAAAGAGCCATAGAGCAGCATCGTTGTGCCGAACAGTTACAAAGCGAAGCAAAGCGAATAAATAACCGCTGTGTTATGTTTTCTTTTCCTTTTGGATAATAATCAGTTCTATAGGATACTAATATTCTGATCAAATGTGTTATCAGGGCAGACGAGTTAGGCGCTAAATGTTTTGTTTCTTTGTTCTCTTTCATAAGTATAACGAGGGCTTCTATATTCCACAAAAACGTACCGACGCTGTGTTTGAACTTAATGGTTTGGCCCAGCAGGGTCAGGTAACAAAACGGGCAATAGTTCTTGCACGCACGACAAATAAGCCATTCCAGTACAGAGCTACCTTTATTATCGCGAGGAAAAAAGCACGGTGAAATCTATACAGGTTAGTACCTTCCCGAGCACCGACGTGAGACGCACGCGATGAATTTTAATTTTAAATCGGGCTTTTGGTCACGTGTTCACAGCACGTCCACCACATGTCACTCATCTCCACATGTCGCACTCTGACGCCTCTTCGGCAGCGAAACTGTGTCCGTCTCTCGCGCAGTTTTTTAGAGTTAATTTCGAATTAACTCTGAAAAAGTTAATTTCGAATTAAATCTTAGCGGATTTAGCCTCACTTAACTACGGACTGCAACTAACTAAAACGTGCTAGCTAAAACAAAATGTCAAAAGTTCATTCATACCGTTTTTGTTATCTAATTATCTATTGGGCGCTTCACACTTGCGCCCTTACGTCCGCCGTCGTGTAGAGCGTAATCACGAAGGAATCGTGTCTTTATTTGAAGTGCTCATTTTCTTTTAAATACAGTTACCGTTACTTGAAATAAACTTTATACAAACGCATTAATGAATAGTTCAGCGCTGACACAGCTGACAGCCTTGCTGTGAACAACATTCGTGCATCCTTAAGTTGTTACAGCTTAGACAGTGTGGCAGTCATTTTTCTTTTGATTTCAGCGTTAAATTCGTCTTTTATGGATTTCAACACCTCCGGATCTCTCAACACATCCAGGGCCGTCAGTGCGAGTGCTTTGGCCACTGCCAGTGTGGTGTCATAGGATTCTTGAGTGTGTGTGGCGTCTGCGTAGGCGGCAGTGTGGTTGGTGGCTGTCGTGTTCAACTTATAAAAGGGATGAATCACAGGAATCACATGAGATACACTTCCGGCATCCGTCGAGCCTCCAGAGGTTTCATCATTGCTTGAGTCGAAGACCAAACCTGCAACCATTAATACAAACTGTACTATATCACGTTCATTGGTTTATCACAAATATAGCTATACCTTTATCATGTCTTGATTACATCTCTATACATAATATTCTTCAAGACGCCAAATACAAATGAATAAATGGCATTTATCTTGAAGTTTATTTTGAAGCATTTATAGCAGCTACAGTACCCGGCTAGCATAGATTTGTAAGACAACAATTAGTTTTTTTGTTTTTGTTTTTTTTCGTTTGAGAATTTAGGGCTTTAAAATGACCGAAGAAACAAAGGCAGTGCCAAACTTTACTTTCTTTGTTCAGAGTCTAGGTATCTTGGCCCCCATTCGTCAAACAAGTGCCAAAGGTAGTTTCCACTGCTAGTACTTTGGCCTTAATCTGGAATCAGTAGGCTAAAATCGCTGAACAAGTTCCAGAGTGAAGCTTCACTTCTGCTTGTTCGGTATTAGTATGGCAGCTCTTGGCGTAAAATGCCAAACAAAGACAAGATTTAGGCTTTACAGCAGTTTCTTTAGTTCATACGTGGCATTTTTGGCTCAAGTCTGGAACTTTGGCAAATATGTCGGGATAAGTGTAGAGGATCCCGTTTGATTGCAAATTATGTTACATAGGACAGACCAAGCTCTGTATACGGGTAAATGATCGTCTCACCGAAAACAAATGTCGTGTCAAAAACAAAGATCCGAATTCGGAAGTGTCAAACATGTAGTTGAACGCAATAATTGTCTACCTAACTGGGACGCAACCTCAATAGTCCTAACGCCTGGGTATTTTTATACAGTTATTATCCTAAATGCATACAGTTAAAGCTCTCAACCAGGACATTTCACTAAGATAGTGAAATGTCCTGGTTGAGACTTTAAAGTTCAAACGAAGCGACAATCGAGATCAGCATCACTAAAACGAAAAAGTTTAACTTTCATTTTAGGTTCATTATTCACAAAAGCTAAGCCACTTCTTTTTTTTCTTTTTTTGTCTTAATAACAACATGAGCTCAAAGCACGAGTCCGAAACAAAAGTACCAAAAAACCGGTGATGTTTAGCAAAATCATCTTGGAAGTACAGCAACACGTGAACCGGGTACCATACAATAGGGAAAAAACAGCATTGTAAATAAACGCCCCATTTAACAAAGAAGTCGGCCTGGCATGCGAATTTAGAGCATTTTTTCTAAGTCGACTGATGTACAAACAACCACGTCCAGCACTCAGTGTCTCAGTGTCTATGTTCAGCCCTAGATACTTTGACAAACTCGTCGTCCAGGTGGTTCCTAGAAAATTCTCTGGCCTCAAGTCCCAATCTGCAAGCTAGGTTCTGACGGTCTTGTCGGTGTTCACGCATCACCCGAGGCAGTGCAAAAATTTGTGATGTGCTGTATCACCGAAACCAACATGTGCAACTCTTCGTTATGCAGCACTTCTACTCCACAAACCCGTTCGTTCTTATCAGTTGGCCACTCAGGGCAGATCATGAATCCCGTTGCTGTGTCACTCAAAATTGATGTGCCGCAGCTCTAACCACTCGCGCTCAAAGGATAGCAAGCGAAGTGGCGTTTTATAAAGCGCGTCACAGCTTGCACTTGGTCGTCCATAGAAGGCTGGGTCTCTTGCCAAAATGCGATGTCTCGGTACTCCAAAAGAGCATTGAGATCCCTTTGCTTTCTTCCACGGGCCAGAAGACTGACGCACTTAAATATTGCAAATATATGATAAGCTGAGCGAGTTAAATGCTGCAAGCTTTCTTTATGGGTTGCGTTAGATGTGAGTGGGAGGGGGGGGGGGGGAGACGAAAGGGGGAGAGAGTATATTACGCGAAGTCACGGCGTCACATTCCAAGTGAGAGGCTTGGGGAATAAGCAAACGGGACCCACCTATGAAGGACCTGGCCGTCGCCGCTCGTCCTGGGGATTACGTGGCTTCGGTTTGAAAAGCTCCAGTTTTTTCGTTTCGGTCGGCCACTTACAACCTTAGCGTCTAGGCCGGTCCCCTGGTTGCTAAGGCCTTCACTGGCGTCAATCATGTCAGACCCGTATTCACTGCCGTTATCCTTGTTTGGTACATTGAATTTGCTGGCACCGTCGCCTTCGAGGGCTGAAACTTGACCAACTGGTGTGATCCCGGCGCTCCTGCCTGCCGATTGCCAAGGATCGGGTTCCACAGCGTCTTTCTGCTGCTCTGGCGTCAATTCCGCTCCCTCAAGATCGGCGTCGGGTTCGGCGTCGGCGTTCCTTTTACGCTGTCCATAGGAGGGACTTCAGTCCCAACGTCCCGTGTGACCTCCTCCGCTTCTTCCTCGTCCATGTCAAGGGCACCATCTTCCGTCGCCACCACTGCCTGCGTGACTGTCGCGTAGGTCCTCCTGCTGTTCTCGCTTTCATGCGCGAAGCGATGACGCTCGTCGCACTTCAGTACACGACACTTGCGCCGGATATATCTAATCGCTTTCCAACGGTGGCAGAGTGGAGCACGGCCCGGGACCACGACGAGAACGTTGACACTGGTGATCCCCAGCTGATGTGAGAGGCGTTCCTGGGTGACGACCTCCTTTAGGCTTAGCATCACAAGCCGCCTTGTCGACTGGACGCTGCCAAATCCTTCCGCGCTCCGATCTTCGCGTGAAAGACCTTTCACCTTACCGTAAATTTTAAGGGCTTTCCTCGCGGCGGCGTCCGGGGCGTGGAACGATATCCAGTACCGTTTCATACGCACGTCTGCGTTGTCAGAGTTCAAGAAGAGACAGCGCTTATACCTTGATGTCAAATTCGGCATTGGACATAAAAAAAAAAACACGGCCGACAAGGGCCTTTGCCGACGCTCCTGGTAAGCTCATGTTTCTGCGTCCGTTCTCAGCGATTGCCGGAAGAAGAATGTTCCGGGCCACTCACCACCATGCAGACGTTACTTGTGGCTGTTTAGGAACTAATTAAAACTCTTTTGCTCATATACGCCAAGGACCTTATTTGTGCTAATTTTTGCTTATTACGGCCTTCCTCGGCATAAACTTTCCGTTTCGCTCATAAAGTATGAAAAGACGATTCCTTTCAATCATATTTGTTTACTTTTCGTCCTGTTTTGGCGAGCGAAATTGCATCTTTTGTAATAAAAGCGAGGACGCATATTGCGATCCTCGCTTTTATCCAATCCGAGATGCAAAACGGGTCTCTAAAATTTTCTAGTATAAAACACAATAGAAATGATACCCACCAAAGTCTTCAGCGTATTTTTGATAGATTTGTCCCATCGTCTTATTAGAAATCAGTTCTTCAACACTGGGGCTCGCCATCTCAATGACAGAGGTGCAACCGGTTGCGTCCGCAGCTGATATAAGGCAGGCTTGCACTTTAGTTTGCAGGCTTTTCAGTTCGTTTATATTTGGAGCTCTTATGGTGAATTCCAGCTGAGACTTATCTGGGATAAGGTTGGACACCGTCCCGCCTTCTTGAACAATTCCTAAAACAAGTAAAACACGGAGAATTAGACATTACTCGGGTCGCAAGAATTTCATAGAACACGCGCCTCGGAGAGCTGGGAATGCCTAAAACAAGGAAATTCCAGCTGCAAAATGAAAAAACAAAAAGCTTTAAAAAGATATAAAAATACCTCGCGTCTGAGTTCGGTACTTTTGCAAAATTCGTAAAATCAATATAATGAATAATCTACAGTTATTGGTATCTGCGATTAAAAAAAATAAAGCATCTTAGAATCGAGAATATAACGCACCAGCCAGATAACTATAAAGTTAGTGATAGTACCGCAGTGGTTTAACTTCCCATACTCAGTAACACTATAATTATTATGATTCTTTTGTACCCACAGAAACATACATTTTGAAAAATGTATGCCGTGTAGATGCTAGTAAAGACTAATATTTTCGAAACTAAGGTAGATGAAAATGTCCTATATTATTACGCAACTAAAATTTAAAGATCTGAGGAAAAGAGTTGATATTCCACCTCTGCTTGCTGTTGTTATTGTTGTTTTTGTTGTTTTAATAATTAATTTATTTTATAAGAAACATTACAGACCAACCATTTTCGGATTTCAGGGTTCCGAAGGTTTTAGAAATAAAACAGACCCACGTACCACGAGTTGACGCACGGCTAGGACGGGATTTCAAACGAGATACTCGTAACGACCTTTCTGGTGTGCTCGCGCCTTCACTTTAAAACTCGCCAAAACAAGTCAATTTGTGAAAACTGTCTATTCAAAGCTTTTCAATTGACTAATTTTTACGGTAACAAAGAAAACAAGGAAGCTATTGTGAGTATTGAGTGAGCGACTCAATTTATTTTAGTGGCGAGTTCATAACCACCTCCTATAAATATTCTCGATATCAGCAGAAAATTCCATCTTATGAATTGCATAAGCGGTCCAACATGGGCATTCCTAGCTTTGTCCCCTTACAGCCCACATCCTTGCTAAGATCGGCCCCAAATCGCCGAACGTACTATCGGGGAAAAATGAAATGCGAACAGAGGAGCGCGTGGCTCGCGGTACAGGCTGCGCCGCCTGGAAGTGAGCCTCGGAGCGAGGGTGCGTGGCCTACTTTGATGTGTTTACGCCCCTCCCTCTGTGCCCCCCAAGGTTCAGCAGTGCGCCTCTTAGAGCGCTGAAAGCTATCACCGCTACCTTTGCTGGCTCAGCGCGTGCACTGCAAAGAAGCTCGCCGCACTCGCCGAGCAGGCAAAGATAGCGGTGACAGCTTTCAGCGCACTGAGAGGCGCACTGCCGAAGCTGGGGGAGCGCCAATCGAGAGGCGTGAACACATCGGAGTAGGCCACGCACCCTCGCTCCTAGGCTCACTTCCAGGCGGCGCAGCCTGTACCGCGAGCCACGCGCTCCTCTGTTCGCATTTCATTTTTCCCCGATAGTACAACCTACAGAAATATGGCGTGGGCAACATCAAGTTGGGTACGCCAATGCGTTGCCCACCTGAAGCCCTTCCCTGTGATAGCTCTGCCCTCGTATAGCCGAGGTGTGACCCACGAGAGCGTTGCACAAGGGCATTCTCAAGCGTAGTCCCCATGGAGCCGACCTCTGGGTGCACTCTGCCCCCCATAGCCGACGTGGGACCCGCGAGGGGATTCCAAGGACAGCCAAAAATGGGCATGACCACTTGGCGCCCCTGTGGAGACCAGCTCTGTTCTAACTCTGCCCTGGCAAAGCTGAGGTGCCACGCATTGGGGCATTACGCGCAGCCCAAGTTGGGCACCTTTCGCCGAAGTGTGGCCTCAGGGGGCTGCTGCACGGGCAGCACAAATCAAACATGGAGCCAAGGGGGTATTGTAGGGGCTGCGCAGTGGTCCCACGGCAGCCCCACGTCGTGTGCTACATGGTATGAAAGTGATGTCTCCTTAATATGGACGCCTCCGTTCCCCCAATCAATCGTCCATAACGTGAGTTGTTCATAGTAATGAGACGAAAATACATGTATTTCCCCAGTTTGTACCCGATGATGGTGTCCATATAGCGGGGTATCCATATTAAGAGGGTCCATATTAACGAGGCATGACTGTATTTTATTCGTGACAGCTCTGTAAATACTGTAAATAAACCCAAACGTGGTCACTACGTTGCGTAAGACTAAAGATGCATCAGAGGAGTGAGTTGAATTCAATTATGCAGAAGCGTTTCTTACTCCGAGGTTCAAAACACAATCCTCACTTAGAGATAACAATGTTTATCACATATCACTATTCATCAACAAAGACACTGCGATTAAAAAATACATTCCTCCTCCTCCGCCACCTTTTACAACAACTTCGTCTTTCTCTTTCAGCAAATGAGCCGAAGAGTTTATATAGATTGGTTCATGATTATAAAGGCGGTTTAAACGGCTAATATACAGAAATTATTAGGATGGTTGCATTTTTTTTTTATCTCTTATCGAGAAACCATACGATTATCACTGGACCGAGTCAAAAGACTCTAGAGATGGTTGTATAAGTACTTTTAGATGACGCTTATCAAAAGGCCTTCTTCTTAAGTGCGCGCCACCTAGTAGGTGATGCTCCAATTATCTCAGTTCGCCATTGTTTGGGCATGCAATCTCTGCATGTGTTAGACACGAGGGTTGAGCCAACGTGAGCTCGGTTAATCTCGTGTCTAAAACGACCATGTTGCGTCAGGGTTCGGCGGGGACTCCAACAAAGGACGACCGCCAATACTGCCTAGTATTTATTGAAATGGGTTCATTGCAACCACGCACATCATTCACAAGGGTACGTCACGTTGAGCATATTGTTAGGATATTCATCTCGGCTCAGGGGAAGTTTTTATACTTATCTGAACATTTAATCAACTAGTATTATAGTAACCAGAACCAAGACGCAAAAGAAGCAAAAGCAGAATGCCTCGCTCTGTTATTGATCGCTCTATTAATCCCTTTTATTTCAAAGACGCGGGTATGAATATTCGACTAATCGAAAGACGCGTTAACCATGATTTGTAAAACCTGGCAATCTGCAATCAACTCTACCACCATTAAATTCGGCCACGCATTTTTTTTGCGTGGGCTTCATATAAAACATAAGTAGAGTTCGCGATACCCCTTGTGTCAGCGAGAAAAAAAAAGGGGGGAGGGGGAGCAGCCCTGGTTAGTTGAACCTATACCTGTGGCTCTCCATTCGGGCTTCATTTGCTGTCTGAGTAGAGACACGTTGACGTAGGCACCCACGGCAGCATCAAGGGCGTTGATTCCGTCCCATGGTGCGGCACCGGCGTGCGCCGTGGCTCCTTCATATTTTACACTAATCTGTGAATATATGGTGAAGAGTAAAGGCATTGGTAAATCACAGTAAATTATATGGAATTACAGGAGGCTCTTGTAATTTACGCTGGGACATTCGAAAGTTCCAATCCAGCTTAGTGTTGACACCACAATCTGAAACCCTTAAAGTGAGGTTACTGCTCTTTCTCTGAGCGGCAGATATGTGCCGCGAATCATACTAACGAATCGAGTTTTTTGTGTCTAGAGTGTTCCTTATTACTACGTTTTGTGGGGTTGTGACCACTGAGTCACCGGCATGCTTTTCATAAACATTATATGCAAAATATCACTAGAATATTGATTTCTTTATGCACACACAACGTGACGTTGAACCTAACCATTAAAAATAATCTTGCATGCAAAGCGCACATCTTCAATTTATGTTTGTTTAAATACGAAATAGGTAACCAACATGCCGTAAGGTCGGGTACATTTTGTATACAAAAAGTGTGAAATCACTTCACGTCCAGTTACCTTTCTTTGCCCGCTTTTCAAAATGGACGAAAGACGTTTTATCGGTTGCGAAAAACAAAACTCCAGAATTTAGTCTTCTACAACATATGAGATAAATGTGACCATGTTATTTTTTATTCACTTCCCGATTTATATTCAGCTGTACTGCTCCCTAAGTTAAAGACACTATAGATAAAAGAGCGCCATGTGTCTCACGTAAAGACAACTAGCCCTGGACGCCATCTTGCAGGATATGGCGTCGCTTATGCCTGCTTGCGCCCGTCTTAATGTTACAATACTAATCGCACGTTTTGTTTTGTAAAGTCAAATGGAAAGTGCTTTGGTTGCCCGAATCAGGTAAGAAACTATATTTGTCTTGTTCTGCCGTAATTTCCAGACAAAAAGGTAGCCACGATAGGGGTGGCAACTGGCCGTTCGGCGTGGCGAGGCCCGTTTGACGCGGATATTTTCAAGTGAGCTTGATACACTACAAATAGAGTTACCATTCTTATTCGTATAAAAGTGTGCGGCTATCGCTTTTGGATACGGTCTTATTCGTGTGGAGGCTCTACTCGAGAGATGTGGAAGATATAAAAAACTACGGCCTCGCGTGCTTGTCTGGTGGATCTAAACAGCTGCTTAATTACAGCGTCCAGACTGCTAAGTGCAATTCAAAGTTACGTCATCACAATATTTTGTGGTTAATACGTACAGCAATCATCTTCCGATGATTGATCGTGTTAGCAACTACGTTCGACAAAAACGTGGGGAAATTATTTATATGTGAATACACGTTTGAACATTGCATAAAAATTAATTTTGTGCAACAAATTTTAAAGTGTGTATTTTATTTGTGTGCGCGCAAATGTTAGAATCTGTGACAAAATTTAAAAGCAGCCCATAGAAAATTGTGATATAATTATTTTTTTTTAATTTGACTTTTACATAAACAGTCTGCAAAGTTTATGATCTAGCGCCATCCAAGCAAACGAAACCGGTCACAGATTTCGTAAAACTGTTTCTAGACATTACGCCAACCTGCTTCGCGTGTTGTATGCAACCTGCTAGCGAATTTGACCGTCAGAAGACTTGTGGGTGCAGCAAATAGCAATCGGTCGGTTCGTAGTCACCGAACAGCCGACAACTGAGCACTGCGCGTTACTCAGGCTTGCGTCTGACCAGGAATAGACTGGATAACAGGACGATGCAACCGCAAGCCTTTGAACTCGCGTAGCCGCGAACACTTCCTTATCTTTCACAACAAGAGGGCAACGAGCTCATTACCAAAACAGATAAAGAACGTTCAGAAACCTAATGCACTCTCACTTCGATAAATGAATGGTGCCACTCAGAATCTTGTTCTTACTCCGAGAAAAAAAGGAAAGAATGTCTTGGCTGGTGTTAAAAAAAAAAAAAAAAAAAACGACAGTTGTATTTCACCCACGACTTCCTCACCACACCACGAAATTTGTACTTGGGCGACGTAAATAAACCGGGAGCATCCTCCAGTATGGTGTAAGCTGCCCAGTTTGCCCAGCCAGATCAAGCATTTTTTTCACTATTGTCCGACGTTTTCAATGGGTTTATAATGAAGTTATTCATGCCGTCATATTTTGGTTTTCCTGCAGACTGACGAGGAAAGCCGTACTTCGTTAGAACGTTAACAGCTTTATTTTTATAGTGGATGTTGCGAAGAGTGAATTCTTTTTCTCTTCCGTTTTAACCTATCTGCATACTATTAAATTGGGCGTACCAAATGTACGGCGTGCGATTCAAGTTCAAGTTCACTACCCTCAAGGGCATTCTCGTGGAATGTATTAATTATATGAGGGGGAAACAAGAATTCGTAGCGGCAGTAACTACATAAAAAATAGTTTAAATAATAATTCCACGTACACATAAACAATACTTAAACATACGAAGGAAAACTATACACAGGGATTGGTAGCATTGGTAATTGACACTAATATAATGAGGCAAATCTAGTGTTTGTTAATCAAGTCAGTAGAATTAAACGTTTCTTGCGAAATAAAGAGAGATATTGCCCTTTAACAATATCGTCAGTGAGAGAGTTCCAGTTTGCAATAGAAAGCGCAAGTGGTGCAAATTTGAATCTATTAGTGCGGCTCCATATAGGCTCAACCTTGAGGTAATGATCATGACGTCAAGAAATGTATAAGGAAGGCTTGCAGTACATCAGCATGATAGATGCCATGTTATAATATATCCTATGAAAAAGGGAAAGACGATATAGTTTGCGAGGTACCATGAGGGAAGTTAGGTTTGAGAGATCCTTAAGTTGGGACACGCTGCTTTTGAGAGAATGGTTAGGATTAATGAATTGGTCTGCTCTCTTTTGAATTGACTCTAGCCCATTGATCAGCTAAGATTTGTGAGGGTCCTATGCCGTGCTGTCATATTCAAGTTTAGATCGGACAAGGCTTTTTTATGCCTTTAGCTTTACATCCTGTCAGGCTTGGCAAAAGCGCCCCCGAAGAAAACCGAGAGTTCTAGATGATTTCTTAAATGTGTTATTAATGACCGCGTTCCAAAACAGATCCTCCGTGAAATTTATCCTAGGTATTTATTAGAGGAGATACGTCAAATAGCAACAAATTTCTAGGAGTAAGATGGAATATATGTTTTTTTAACGATTGAAAGAGGCAAGAATTGTTATCACGATATTCATTCTTCTTTGACATCCTAAGCACCATTCCGCAAGAATGTATATGTCTCGTTGGAGGATTTCCGAGTCATTGGGATGGAAAGTCCGGTGGTATATAACACAATCATTGGTGAAAGGTCTTACGGATGACGAATTTAGTGGAGGCAGGTCAATAATGTAAACCAGAAAAAACAAGGGTCCTAGGACGCTAGCCTGTGGTACACCGGATTTTACTGAAATTGGATGGGATGGGGAGGTGTCGTCTATTAACAAAGACAATTCGCGATTAGATGGAAAAGAAAAAATCCAATTGGTAACGTCGTTGTTTATGTTTAAAATTGAAAGTTTTTGTAGCAATCGATGATGGAGGGACAGTGTCAAAGGCCTTAGCGAAATTGATAAAAATCGCATCGGTGGTAGAACACGCGTTAAAGCTGTCATGTAAGTCCGTCACAAAATAAAATAGCTGAGTTTCGCGTGAAAGAGTTTTACGAAAGTCATGCTGGAAGGAGGGAGGAGGAGAGGAGGGAAGCAGCTTGAAGAATGAAGGGAGGGGGAAGTAAGGGAGGAGGAGGAAGAGGAGGGGGAGGGGAGCAGGAGAATCAGGGAGAATGAGGAGGTGAGGTAGAGGGAGGAGGGGTATACCTTCCCCTCAGTACCCTTCCCTCCTCCTCAAGAGTTGCGCTCTAAAAATTGGGTTGTGTGTATGTTTATACAACCTAGAACTTGGTCTGCCTCTACGGGCGACAAGTCTCCCAGCTGCAGATGAGCAATTTAGCCAGTGCAGTACAACCGCTAGCTTGGGGTCTTTAACGTGCATCACGTAGTAGTGATGCACGGCCGCACGCGGGTACGATGCTCATCCAGATCGAAACGGGCAGGGGTGGGGGTTGAACCCAGGATCCCTGAGTACTGCAGCGCAAGCTTTCACTCCATGAGTTGTGCTCTAATTTCGCGTTACAGTGTGTTGTAAACGTCTTTCATTTTTTCGAAGGGGTCTTCGGATATTTTGCAAGGAACAACAAATCGCGCGATCAAATCGATACAGTTCTTCTCCTGCTTCTTCTTCTTGTTCTTCTTTTTCTTAAAGGGAGCATATTCCTGGGAATATGCTTCCTTTAAGGGCGCAGCACCATCAGCAGGCACTTAACAATCATGCAAGCGAAAGGCGTCTGTTTAGTTTTATGATTTGCGCAAGGCTCTGGCATATCACTCGTTTCTTTTCATGGCACTAAGTGGGAGATGTCCGATCAGCATTTCCAAGTGGTACGCATATATGGGCTTTGTATGTGGCGTCGCTGAATGGGCGAGAATCTCTCTCATTCAAAACACCAAGTAGGCATAGTGGCTCATTGTTCTATAGAAAGGTTTTATGCTCTAATTAATCCTTCCCCGTGGTTGCTGGTTTGTTAGTAGATTGTGCTGCCTCTGATATTTAAATAGAAAACCAAAATATATCTCACATGTAACATGAGCCCTCGGGTTGCGGTTATAAAAGATTTCGTTTCACTCCAACTATAAGGTGCACAAAATATTGTAGCTTATCGCAGACCTCTAGAACTTACACTCCGGCTGCACAATAATTACGTAATGTCTGAAGCATACGGAGACACAATTTGTAAAGTATATTTTGCTACTACAGATTAAGGTGTAGTCAAGTTATTAAACCCTGAATAAACACACTAGTTGACAAAATAAAAAAAATGAGACCATTCATTCATACAAGAAAACAACTTTCACTTGTAGAAGGGTGGTGAGCCGCGCTAGTTGATAACCATTACATGGTTAATGTCAGCGAGCAACGTGAGGAAACTGTAAAAGAATACAGGAAACAGGATAACGCTGAACTCGCAACTCAATATTTCGT